TCTTTGTTTTTATTTCAAAAACGTGCTTCAACATTGAAAAGGACAAAAATAACGCCGTTTTTGGTCGAATTTGTTGAATTTTTGGATTGTTTTTAACGAAATTTGACGTTTTTAGCTGTGAAAATATTCGAAAAATACAAAAATAAATTGTCATTTTTGATCCTGTCTCGTCAAATCTTGTAAAAAAACAAACCAATTTGGTGGTTTTTCGACTTTTTTGAAAAAATTTTAAAAACAGTTTTTTTCATTTCGAAAAAATCACCAGATATTAGAATTTTTACAAAAGCTTTCACCAAATCACCAAACTAACATGAAAATCACTAGATCTGGTGAAGTTTCACCACACCTGGCAACACTGAGTGCTAGGTAGGTATATGGACATCTTTACTTTCTGTTCGCTGTTTGCAAAAAATGTTCAAAAGCTTGTTTCGCTATTGTTAGACACAAACAAAATAATTGCGTACTTAAATACATTATGCACTATGGTAATGGAAATTTATGACCACCTAATTACCGGATTATCCAGTCCTCAAACATATAATAATGACCATAGAGTCAGTTATAAAATTTACCCACTCAGAAACTAGAAATTTCACCACCAGGAAATTTAGCCGTGTGTTTGTCTTCTTTCAAAGAAACGTCATCTTTAACTTATTGAGATGATGGTGTAATGAGAATTAACAGCATCCACAACACACCACCGTAACGTGCGGTTAAATCAGTTAATGATGAGTTATAGGTGCGACAGTTAATCCGTGAATTGTGGTTATGTGTTAACAAACAAGCCGCGACGACGCACACACAAGAAGATGAGATCGTAACAATTCTTGTCAAGTGGACAATACTTTTCGGTCGACTTATGCTAATAAAATATTGCTAAAAACTCTTGTTATAAATCAGTTTTATTAATTAATTGCGTTGCGTAAAACGGGTTAATTAATATTACCGCCAAGTAAAATGTATTGTTGCTTTGTTACTAATGTGTAAGATTAATTGGACGTTTTGTGTATGTTTAAAATGTATGAAATATGGATATTTATCATATAGTACCCGCATGTCGCGCCTATGATGATTAGCCTTTCTGTAATTTCAAAGAATGTCGCAAAAGCATTAACACTTAGCTTTACGGCACACGTGTTGAGAAAGTGGTTTTTTCATCTTTGTAAGTGGATTTAAGAATAAAGCGCTCACTTTCATTATTTTCGTACAATTTTAAACCAAAAACGGATATAATTAAAGTACAAATATGGCAAAAATTAGGAGGGATCATGGTTCTCTTAGCTTTCCCGGTGGGCACGCCTATGGGCATAATTAAAGATTTTATGGCTATTGGGTTTTAAACATGCCTTCTGGTCATAATTGTTTGGATTATACACTTATTGCATAAATTTACTGATGCTAATGTGAAAAACATAACCTCAATTGTGATGATGTGTGATGGTTTGAGCTTGATAGATTAAAATAGGCAGCAGACACGTTTTATCGGCGGACCACAAACTGCAATTCAATAATTATTATCACTTATATACAGTACAATGTCTCCGGATTGGGTTTACAAGAGGAAAAAAAAATTTTTGATTTTACGCCAAAACTGCAAAGGAAAAACATTTTTTTGCTTTACCTAAAACGCGCAAATCTGTACTTAAAACTTCATTATTCTGATCTAGTGAAAAGAAAAGTTAATTTTTCTCTTGATTTTCGACTTAGAATAATTTTTCTCTGCTTTTTAAGTTCTGTCACATTGTCGGTTTAGCATTCTTTTCGTAAATATGATAATTTTTTAGTGCTATTCTTCATATTTTCGCACTATTTGTCAAATAATAATTCACTGTCGACGTTTATTAAGAAACAATTTTGACATTTTTGATTTATATAGGTAACTATGCGAAAACGGGTGTGGCTAGTAATAGATTTGGCACAGTCACCATAGCTTGAAAAAGTCACCAAAACTTGAAAATTATTAAATTTACCTAAATTAATTTTTAATAAATATAGGGAATACAAATCGATGCAGAATTAAATTCTCTTCTATTTAGTAAAATAAAAATTTGGGTATTTTATTTATAAAAATTGAGTTATGTGTATAGTAAAATCGTTTTTCTAAGACCTACTAAAAATTTTATGACATATTATAAGGGATTAACCAAACAATGGCTTGAATTTGTAACCCTCCATAAATGGCACGTTCCTTTGCAAGTGTTGCTGCACCCACTAGAATAAAACAGGGCCGTATTTAAAACTAAAGTAGTGGTAGAGTTTTACCAAGCTATTATTAAAAAAAAAATCAGCTTTAATTAATAATAGCTTGTTAATAACCACCTGGCTTTTTTGAATTTCTTAAAATACTTGACTTTAATAACAACTATATCAAAAACTATTAAAACATTTTATTTTATTTTAGACAAAAAGAAAGTAAGTAATCCGGCCCTGTTAAAAACTGACCTATTTGCGGGTCCGGGTGGGTTCCACTAATTTATGATTTGTTTACCCTCTGGTTTACTCTTAACAATACCGCATTTAACTTAAAAGTAATAAAAAATTTAGTAGGTCTTATGAAAACGATTTTACTATATTTGCATTATTACAAAAGTAACCTTAAAATTTTTGGGGTATGTTAATTTTTTTTTCAAAATTTGAAAACATCAGAAGAAAGACCTAAGCATTCTCTTTCAAATGCCAAAAAAACAAATTCAAATTTTTTTAAAATGGCAGAGTTACCGATTTTTAAAATGGAGGGTGCAGATCCAAAAAAAATTGAATTTTTTTTTTGAAAACTCCAATTATTTCTAAGACGGATAAATTTAGGTCTAGGAAAAGCTAATAAAAACTCTTTTAAAATAACCCGATTAATCCAAATACGCAGTAAAAAATATATCTTTCTATTTAAAATAAGAAAATTGAGACCGACTTCCGGTATAACCGAAAGTGTCGCCATCTTGAAAACATTTTCATTTAGGAAGAGTTAATGGGGATTATGCCTATGTACCAATTTTCAAATAAATATGATTATTCGAACTCCCAATACTTCTAAAGTGGGGTTTAGACGGAACATCCTGTTTACTGCTCTACAAAAGTTAAGGAAGTCGCATTATTTTTACAACAAATAAATTTTATATTTATAAGCATTATGGGATCCAGCAAAACAAAAAAGTAAAAAGATATCTTCCTTTATCTCATTTTTAATTAATTATTAATTTATTTTTTAATATATTATTAATTTAATTAATTATTGCACACTTTCTTAATTTTTGTGGAGCAGTTTATTTATTTACGCTTAGTTTCGGTGTAAAAGTCGGGAAAAAATTTGACTCAGTTTCTGGAAACTGATAAACTAAGCAAATTTTTATAAAATAATCAGTTGTCAATAAATTGAAGCACTTTTTGATTAATTTTAGATATAATTGACAAAAAAAAATAATTTAAGAAACGAAAAAATATAGGACCTGTAAATCGTTTTTTTTTTTTTCAAAAACAGTTGTCAGTGGCAAAATAATTAAAGAAAAGCTAGCCATAATTATCTACTTTATATTTAATTTTTCCAAAAATTTTTTTTTCCATAAATAATTGCAATTTTGACAAAAAATCGCCTAACTCAAAAAACAAACAAAATTTTGTTTTCAAAATACGATCACATTTTTCATATTACTTTATATTATAATTATTATTTTCTGGAGACAAATGATTAAAAAAAAACGCATGGTCCCTGTAATTAGGGCTCTGCCCTTAGGGCAGTACATGGAGGTATCGTGGAAAATACTGTAATATGTGATATGCCACATATTCTAAAAAAAGTAAATGTCATTGAGAAACTGAAATTTACTATAGACGCTTCCACCAAATTAACAATACTTCCAATGACAATTGTGCATAATAGAAAACCATTCCTACTTAGATTGTTTACTAAATTGTACTTTTTATATCAGAATTAAAATCAAAATTTTATACAGTTTTTATATTGTAAGAAGTGAACGGTTGCTTCTTTAGTTACTTTACTTTACTTTACTTATTTTTATTTTTGACGTGAATACACTTAATCGAGCCTACACATGTGTAGGGTAAATCAAAAAACAAAAGAACCACACTTTCAGTCAGGGAGTTTTCAAAACCACTTGCTTACTTTCAGAAGTATCGTTAGTCTAAATGAAAACGTCAATCAAGGCTACTTTTTTGAATTACCGTGTGTACATAGGCATAAATAGATACCGTAAAATGGTGCTACTTTGTCAAAGTTTGAGAGGTTTTGTTAATGTATTTTTTTTATTTGTTGCAATATTTTCTTGAAAAAAATAGCATCAGAACAATTGATTCTTCTGCTTTAACAAACAAACAAACAGACTTAAAATTTTGCCTCAACTAAAAATACGTAATGTAAATAACTCTATTAAACGCATTAAATACAAAACATAAAATGTATATTTTCTTAAAAAAAATTAAATAAGTAATTTTTATATATGGCTTTTATATGGCATAAAAATAAAATAAACATAATTTCGGTAGGTACCTATACTGAAAATGAAACAAAATTAGTAGCCCCATAAAGTGTCAAAGTAACCCCGTTTTACGGTATTTATTGCAAGTTAAATGACAAATCTTAAACTAGTTTTATATGTTATGGATTGACAAGATACAACATTCCATTGAATTCAAGGAAAATAGAAATTTTTTGATCATTGAGGTGTTATTTTTACCTTTTTGTGAATTCATTTCAATAATTCATCTTCTTCCGCAAGCTCCACTATTAAATTAGTTGCCTTCACCCTTTACATTAAAAGCTGGTTATTAAACAACACCGATGACCACCAGTGTGAAAAGTCGTAGTAAAAGCCATGAAAAAAAATCAATAGGAAGTGTATCATCCACATCTTTTGATTAGTTTTAAGTCGCGTGTCGTGGGTGTTATAAAACGCTTGCGCGCTACAGTCATACCTCAACAAATCGCCTATCTCTTCTCTTCGGCGCTCTTGTGTTCTACGCCTGGCAGTCTCAGTCGGCGTGTGACCGTTGTCAAGACGACTACGCAACAAGTGAACTGCGGTACACCCACCACATGGTGCTGTTCCACGCCTTCAACAATTGTCAAATACCGACAAACGCAAACGCTTGCCTTAAGTGTCTTCAAATGAAAAAAAATTGTCTTTTACGCAAAACTAGCCATTGACTATTTTCAAAAAAAAATGTGTTTTTGACTTTATTAGAGTAACAAGTTGTCGTTTTAGGGGATGCTCATTGGTTCGGTTATTTAGTGACAATTTGTGCAACATTTTGAAAATTTGAAATAAAATCGTGTTTATTGTTACGCACGAATGGTCAAGACAAACATACTTCAACGCAAATTGAATGTGATTAGTTGATTTGTATTCAAGTGCATCTGTGTGTATTTATTCATCACTATCAGCGGTGATTTTGAATTTGTGCCTGAAAGCGGTGATTTCGGAATTGAATAAATTCAAGGCGACTGAGTTAAAGAGCAAGGTTGGTGCTTATGGAACTCTCGGAGCGCCGAGGGTGTGTGTTCTAGTGCGCCCTTCGGGGCTATGGATACGGGGGCTTGTTGTGTGGCCCCCTCGGCGACGCCCCGATCCGACGACCAGATCGTCCCGGCACATCCAGGAGACTGCTGGAACCCCCACCAGAGCAACCACTCGCAGCCCTTCCTCGACGCTTGGCTCCTTCAAATGCAGGTAGGATCATCGATGATGATGATGATAAGCGAAAAACACAAAGTCCTAGACCGAAATTGAAACCCGAGATTTCAAGCTGGGTCTTTTGGTCGCACTTATTCATGTTCACTCCTGGATGCTTTTTCCTAGGGACAATGACAAGAAGAAATTAACATTTTACTTTAATTTCAATTTGTTTCGAGCATACGAAATGAGATTTTTGTGCCAAATCATCGGGATCCATGTCGACTATAACACCGCTCGTCATTTGAATTTTTAATACTTACAAGATCGTTTGTCTTCGTAAAACGCTTTATGGTTTAGGATAATTTGGCTTATCTGGGAAACTTTATGTACAACTTCGCAGAAATATGTTTTATTTGTTACAATGTTTTTTGCGACATAATAAAATCGTCATAAAATTAAACGACCTTCTGTAGCAATCTGATCACCTCAAATATTGCCAAATAATTTTAAAAATTAAATACAGGAGGGTTTCTTAATATTGCAAAAAATGGCTCATACAGCTTATGAAATTTTATGAAAATAATTCAAATGGTTTGGGAGAAACTAATGGATTTTAATTTTTATTATGAATCTTTATCCCCTGTACAGGAGTCCCATCTAATTCAAAACTCTAATTCTAAATTCTAACGAAATTTAAAATGTAGATTATTTAGTATAGATAGTGATAAATATTGCATTACTAAAACAATTCTAGCTCTTAAAATGTGATTTTAACATGGTTTTTAAAAATGCTAAATTAGGTACTTAAAATTTATATCAAATTTTTAATTGCCAATAAAATATCGGTTTTTGAAAGAGGTTCTGCTTACAAGAAAAAAGAATAAATTTTGTTAAAAGTTAGAAACCGCATTTATTGGGCTAATCAGTTCCATACAAGAGATGTTTGAAGGTACCACAGGTTTTCAGGGTTGTAAAAATGGTACTTGGAGACGTTAAACTATTGTTTTAGAGTTGACTTTGATAATTTTTTTTCAAAAAAGAGGTCATACGTTTAACAACGTAATTTTCGAATTTCTATTGATTTAGACGAGTGTTCTAGTTATTTTTTTCTGTAAAAGTTTTTTAGTGGTTAACAATATACTACACCTTTTTCAGGTGTAATTCAGAAAGCGTAAGATATATTTCAGAAAACGTTAATTGTAATTCAGATTAGTCAATTGTATTTCAGAAAGTGTTAATTGTAATTGAAAACAGTAAAATGAATTTCAGAAACTCAGATATAATTCAGATTAGTTAATTTAATTTCAGAATGGGTAAATTGGAATTTAGATTAGTCAATTGTATTTCAGAAAGTGTTAATTATAATTCAGAGTTTGTCATTTGTAATTGAGAATTTGTCAATTGTAATACAGAATTCGTTATTTTCATTTAAAAATTACACTATCAAAATCTCTTTAAAAATAAAATATCTTATTTATTTTGTAGAATAACAAGTTTAGTTTTGAAAATAACACGTGTTTATGTGTAAACTTTATTTTGAGATAACAGTAAGTTCCTCATCTGAATTGCAATGGATATTTTCTGGATTACATGTAACATGAAATTGGATTTACTGTTCTGAATTACATGTAATGGTTTCTAAATTACAATTAATACTTTCTGAAATACAATTGATTAATCTGAATTCCAATTTATGCTTCCTGAAATTAAATTAACTAATCTGAATTACATCTTATGGTTTCTGAAACTCATTTAACTCTTCTGAATTACAATAACACTTTCTGAATTATAATTTACGCTTTCTGAAACTAAATTAACTAATCTGAATTACATGTGATGGTTTCTGAATTACACTTGAAAAAGGTGTAGTAGTTTCGTTTAATTTTAAATTGAGAAAATATGTGTTAAAATTTTTTTTATCTTGAGATAATTGTATTAATACTGCTTGAATCTCTACCTTGCAAGTTGCCTACATTTAACATTACATAAAAATCCGTTGGCAATTGACAGAGATATTAGACCCGAAAGTCTTACATGGGACGTCCTGTATATCCGTAACAAAGCTCATTTATTTGACAAATAGAATATGTGGTTCTAATTTTTCATAACGTTTTAAGAAAACACCTGGTATATTACAGCCAAAAAGCTTTTCTCTTTGCGGTCAGTTGACTAGAGGAAGAAAAGATTAAATATGTTGCAGGAAATACGTTATTTGAGGTTTTTGCTTTATTTACAAAACATTCAGTATAAATAAACATTAAACAAACTGCTTTAATGATTGTTGTAATAATGTCAACGACGGTTCTATTTTTTCTCTTTATGCACTTAAAATGTTGTATTTTTTTATGGTGGTTTTAGCCTCATTTAAAAGATTCTTTAACACGAATTCCTAAAGCTAAAAATCGTTTCGTACTTTTTTATTTCATGATTATTGCTATTCCCTGAAATAATAATTTGAAAAAGACTTTCTATTTTTTATTTAGTTCATCCTCAGGCATACACAAATTTAGATACATTCCTTTTATTTTATCGTCTCCAAATTGTAAAATTGTGTTTTTTTAAATGACGTTCCTATAAATTAACCACTGTGCTTTTTTTAAAACACTATTTCTGATTGGTATCTAAATTGCTTGATGTAAGGAAGCTAGATTTTGGATTTTTTGTTACAAAAGTTCTTGATTTTAATTATTCAAATTAAAACTAAACATTATAATTTAATGTTTTAGCTGGACTAGTTTTTTGGAGATTTTTGGCTTTTATCAAAAGTTAAAGTTGAATTTATACATTTACGGATTTATTACTTTTTATTGTAACATAAAATTTCAATGAAATAGGTATTTTTTTGTAGTTTTGAGTTTTGAAAACCCACAAACAAATTTGTAAAAAGTAATAAAACAATCACAATAATTTTAATTTGTAGATTATGACAGCGATAAAAACCGATAAAAAGCCGTCTTTGAGCATTTATAAGACTTTGATTAAAATTAAAACGAAATTAGCAAGATTCCATTTTTTGCTTTCGTTTTAGGTGATTTTAACACTTTGTTGTATGTACAAAAATTTATCAATTTTTGCACTAGCTTCAGCTGTTTTTTATTTTATTATTTTCTCGCTCATTTTTGGTCTACAGAATAATATTATTGATTGCAGGCAATCTCGTGTATGTAGCACACTCTTTTAAACTTTACTGAAATGTTGCATACTTTTGCTACATAACTAAAGGTAAAAATCCTTAAGATTAATGATCAGTTTCGAGCCTCCAACTGAAGGACCTACATAACCCATGTATTTATGGATAATAAATTTTAATCATTCTGATTCGAAATGTTTCGCATCCACAATTTTCCGTTTCGTAATTCGCTAACAATTTATTAATTTGTCTTCGTATTGGCGTATCAAATGCGTGATCTTGTGTATAGTAAACTCTTTAACGAGGTGACCGAAATACAAGCACTGCCTGGAGGTGTAATGTAAATAATGCTTATCTGTCTAGTCGAATTAGACTTGATTTTTAAACACCTGAAAATTTCAAATAAATAGCAATTTCATGATTCGCACCACCCACTCGGGTTAGCACCTCTGTATCTTGATTTTGAATTGAGATTTATGGTTTATGCCAAATTCAAAGATGGTTAATTAGAAGGGAGATAATTAAGGTGCGCGTGCAAAATAAATTCTGTAAAACGGTGCAAATGAGCATGAAAGCGGGCATTATAACGCCTGTTTATCACAGAACCGTGTGGATGTCGGAAATGTGAGTTTAGTGAGTGTAGTCAGCAGCCCGTGAAGAGTATCATGGTATTTACACTATTACTCGCTTTTTATGTTATTTAATTACAGCGTTCTTCGTGATCCTTTGTTTCCTTAACTTCGATAAGACTCAGCTCTCGACTCCTTTCAAATATTTCTGGAATTTCAATGAGTTGGGTAAATATGTGGATAGAGAGTTTTTCGACCAACACCAGGAAAGAAAATTACCAAAAAAGGGGCCGTTTTAAAACGCAACTTCTTGTTTTACATAATTAAGATTCGATTTGTTGACATTTTGGTTATTGCATAAAATCCACATTAGTGATTCAGGAATAAATCAAGTTTGAACGTAAAACGGTCGCTAATGTGTGATTGCCACATTTTATAAAGGTACATTTTTTAAACGGTCGTTATGTTTGACGTTTTCTTCTGGTAGGAGATGCCAAAGAAGGTCATTATGTTGTTTACGATAAATTATTATTATCAAAACTTGCGTCTCATTTAAACCTGTTTCATTCATTTTTACTGGGCTAAACGAGTAGATAGGAATTGAATTAATTATAGAGTGCAATCAGAGGCTATCAATTATACAAATATGTACAAATTGTGAGGATCTTGTTATACAACAAAAAATTACTTACTTTTGTTCGTCGTTTTAGCATAATTGGGATTATTTTCTAAAAACTTTAATCAAACTTACAGGATGTTTCAACAATTTTATAAATTATGAAACTATGTGCAAAGTATAATTACTCCAAATTAGCACTTTATTTAATAGCATTGTAACATTGTAATTGCTTTTGCAGCAAGAGACTGAAATTTTTGAAAGAAGTTGAGTTTTTTAACTCGATGTTGCAATCATTTGAAGGCTTAATCCTAACTTAATACATAAAATATTCAGTCTGTCTTCGGATTTGAATAATACATATAAATATAAATAAAAAATTAAATAATGAAAAAAACCAATAGTATGTGAAATTTTTTAAAGCATTAATTTCTTGTCTGGTAATGGAGGTGTTCCGAATTTTAAAATGTTATCTTTACTAAAAAAAATTTTATAATAAAAAATAAATTATCAAAAATTTTAGTTTACCGTCACACAACATCTTTTTCGTTTGATAACTAAGTAAATTGTCTTTAACTTTTCTATTTTTTGGTATTTTAAGACTGGATATTATTATTTTTTTCACCCTTTACATTATGGAAAAAGGAAATATAATCATAATTTTGTTTTTTAATCCATTTCGGAATGAGTTTTTTGAATTGCTATGTTATTTTTTCTTTCTTTTTATTTTCTGTTATTA